ATAGAATAAGCTGGAAGGGACCTTAAAGGTCTTCTATTTCAGATAAGTGACTGTCTAAATATCCAGTGATGGAGCACCCATGATTTCTGGAGGCCAGCTGTTCCACTGGTTAATTGTCCTCACTGTTAGGAAGTTTCTCCTTAATTCTAGGTTGCTTCTCTCTTTGATTAGTTTCCAACCATTGTTTCCTGTCCTGCCCTCTGGTGCTTTGGAGAATAATTTGATCTCCTCTTCTTTGTGGCAGCCCCTTAAGTACTAGAATATTATTATCATGTCACCCCCTAATTCTATTTCATTTGATCTATTTCTGTGTGAGCCAGAAGACAACAAAGTGTGCTTCCTGATATGATAGGTTTTGTTGGATCTGGGAGATCCAGGCTGACTACAAAAGCTCTTTGGATAATGTTGGGCCAGTCACTCCCCCTGGTAATAACTTTAGAAGAGGCCTTCCAGCATGCTGCTTTCAGCTTTCAGGAAAAAGGAAACCATATAACTGTAATAAATTAATAAAGCTGCCATCAACATTTTCTGCAATTCAGACTGATGGTCGTTTGGAAGGGTACCTATCCGCTTATGCCTTAAGATTTTTCAAGAGAGCAACCTATTGTGCTTCTTTATTTCTGAAACCACCCAAATGACACGATTGGAGGGTTGGCCGTGTATATCTTAATACATAAATGATATTTCCATGGTGAGGTTTTGGCGAGATCTTGAACAAACTATGCAGTTTTATGCTATCTAAATGTACTTGTGATGTTTTCAAGGGCATTTTTCTTGCAGGCAGGTGTGTCTAAGATTGCAGTTTCAATGCACACTGTTTTCAAACAGACCCATTTCCCATTTATTCTGTCCCATCCCCAGCTTAGAAGGATTTGGAAAACCTGAATGGCTGCCAGTTATGAGAAACACAGGCGGATGAACCCCAAATGGCTTGACTCTTTGGAAGGAAACTTCTTGTGTTTAAATGTCTGCAGTGCAGCTAGAATACTCAGCACATTTGGGGGGAGGCGGGGGGAGGACAGGGAGAATCCCACACATTTTATTGTGCTATAGTAAGAGGCTTGAGGTTGGGAGTAAAGGTGCGTATGATTTTTCTTGGCCCAAAGTTACAACTTCCTGGATGATGTGCAAACAACTTTTCAGTCAACCGGCAATCTAAATGTGGTGAATCTTAAGGGTGGAGCAAGACTTTAGTGAACTGGAGGGGCTCAAGATATCTCTATCTTGCTTTTAAGGTTTGGGGGAATTTTATATTTGGGAAGAAACTTCATTCATTGAATTCAGGGATCATGGTGTCTCCCCTGCCAGGTAAGTATTGAGTGGGATTTATGTCCAGACTGACTTGCATAGGGTTACACAATAAAAGTTATTGGACGCATCAGTTACAGGTAGTCCTCGATTTACAACTGTTCATTTAGTGACCGAAGTTATAGCAATAGCAGTTAGACTTATATACCGCTTCATAGGGCTTTCAGCCCTCTCTAAGCAGTTTACAGAGTCAGTATATTGCCCCCAACAACAATCAGGGTCCTCATTTTACCCACCTCAGAAGGATGGAAGGCTGAGTCAACCCTGAGCCAGTGAGATTTGAACAGCCAAACTGCAGAACTGCAGTCAGCTGAAGTAGCCTGCAGTGCTGCATTTAACCACTGCGCCACCTTTATAACAGCACTGAAAAAAGTGACATGACTGCTTTTCGCACTTACGACCATTGCAGTATCCTCATGGTCATATGATCAAAATTCAGATACTTGGCAACTGACTCATATTTATGACAGTTGTCCCAGGGTCATATAACCCCCTTTTGCAACCTTCGGACAAACAAAATCAACAGGGAAGCTAGATTCATTTAATCAACGCGTTACTAACTTAAACCTGCAGCGATTCACTTCAACAACTGTCTCACTTAGCCACAGATATTTTGGGCTCAGTTCTGGCCGTAAGTCGAGGACTGCCCATATTGGCACTTCCAGAACCTCACCCATGAACAGCAACCAAGCTGGATTTCTGGTCCCTGCTCTCGGGATGCTTCAAATAGTCCCATTTGTGGTAGGATGGAGGGAGGGCAGAAGAAAGCCCCCACACCTGGCTGGGTGTGTTCTTTTTCTTCTTCGGCTGAGCATAATTTCGTTTTTATGGTAACGCGGGGCAACCAATCACAACCAAACCCTTGCCTTTTGGAACCGCGAGCGCCCGATTCCCTTGCAGGAAGGAAAACCCCAACGTGACATCATCCGCAGCTCACAGCCGAAGAACAAGAAGTTCAACACAAGTCTCAGACAGAGCGGTTAAAACTTTTTTTTTTAAATCCGTGGCTTTGCTTTCAACAACCCCCCCCCCCTCATCCCCCCCCCCCCCACCCCCAATATCGAAATATTCATCACGGCTCTTCTTGGCTCCTCTCCAAAATTCCCAGCGCTGGCAGTTTAATGAGATCCATCCTGCCCCCCCCCCCCCGTGCGTACCGTCGAGGGGGAGGGCGAGAAACTCCTCCTTTTGTGAGTCATTCCCGAGGAAGAGAGAGAGAGAGAGAGAGAGAGAGAGAGAGAGAAAGGCAGGGAGTCTCCGCTGCACTCACGTTCCGAGCGGCTTGGAGAGAAGATTGGAGCCAGCGCTCTTGGCGACCCGGCTAAACGATGGTTTGGGACTCCGTGGCCTTCCGTGCATCCGGACCCCCGTTTCTCTCCCCGAGCCCAGCCATGCTTCGTCGGGCTTTGCTCTTCCTTTTCAGCGGGCTCTGCGCTTGGGGTTTTAACCTGGACTCCAAGGCGCCGACGGTTTTGACCGGCCCCACAGGCAGCGCTTTTGGCTTCTCAGTGGACTTTTACCTCCCGGAACAACAGAGGTGAGTCCCATTTGGACGGCGCGACCCTAAGAGGAGGGGGGGGAGTTGGGGAGGGCATTTCGCACTTCTGCGAGGAAGGGGAACCCGGCTGGGTCGTCTCAATCCCACCGCGTCAAACTCTCCTACAACCCCCCACCCCACCCCAGAAATTCGGGTGTGTGTGTGTGTTTCTGGGTGGAAAGTTTAGTGATCGTACTGGGGGAGGGGTGGGCTTGCATACGATCAAGGCAGGCACGGCTAAAGATGTTGGACCCTTTGGTAACACTTGGGACAATTTAGCCCCGGGGCAATGAAATCGCATTGGCTCTGCTTGAATTGGCTGCGAGAGCCGCGTTCTCCCTTCCAAATCACGCCCCCCTCTCCACTTGGCCTGGCCTGGCGCCCGCTCCCTCTTGCTTAGCCCCACTAAGTGATTGCAGACCCACCGTCCCTGCCTGTTGCGCGCTTCCTCCCAACCCGCTCCCGTTAGTGGGGTCTCCATCCCGCACGCTCCCCCTTGGCGGGGGCGCCGGCCCGCTTTTGTTTTTTCCACCGGTGGGGGCCTCGCGCGCCACGGTCCAACTTTCCCTTAGGGGAACCTGGCGGACTTTCTGTGCGTGTCCACACATCCCTTCTCCCCCCCCCCTCCATTCGTTCTCACCCCCAACAGGCTCGGAACCGAGCATTTCCTGTAATCGGAGCTCAGCCCCCGCCGCTCTTGTTTCCAGGGGCTTGGGGGGGGTGGGTGGAAGAGAAAGAAGGGGATCGGGCTTTTGGGCGGGGAGAGCCGGAATGGGGGAGAGAACCCGCGCCCTTCGTGGGGGGCAGATCTGTAAAAAAAAAAAACGTTGCTATTTAGCCTGGAAGGGAATGGTAAAAGGAAAAAAAGTGTGTGTGTGGGTCTCTGACCTCCACTCCACCAGGTGTGTGTTTGGCCAAAGGATTTGGCAAATAGCCAGCCGGAAGCTTCCCCCTCCTCACATAAGACACCAGGGAGGGGGGAATCCGCCAAGGGAACCGCTGCAGATGAGATGAGGTGGGGTATGTGGGGGGGGGGGTGTCGTATTCCAGGCTCTCCTCCCTCTCCTTGGGATGTGTTGAACAAGAAGCCTTATCCTGAATGGGGAACATCCAACTTGTCTGTCTCTCTTTGTATAAGCCAGCAAAGCTGAAAGGATCTGGCAGAAATTCATACAGGATCCCCTTCCTCTTTAGCTGGGATGCTAGTGGCGGGTTGAAGATTGACTGTGGGCTCCCCGTCTCCATTTTGGGGTGGTTTGCAAGAAAGAAAAGATGCTGATGAAGATTTCCTGGTCCTAAATGGCTAGTTCTGCCTTTGCACGTGGTTTTTACACACTAACTGGGGAGAGCTTATAAATGTCAGCTGGCATCTGCCAGCAAAGGGAGGGGCATGGGGACAACGTGTGTATTACACCCAGATCTCACCCATTTCCAGATTGAAAGGCTGGCACTGGGCAAATGGGTTGGGTGGTGTTGGTAAGCGTGCTTATGGGAGCACACAAAGACCACCCCACCCCCGCCGCGATATCACAGGGAAGAGATTAAATAGATTTAATAGATCTTCTGCATTTAACTCTCCAAGAGACTTGTGCATAGTTGTTGGCAGGCGAATCTCTTAATTTATTAGGGCTTATTAAATACACGCACATAAAAGGGCAGAAAACTTCTGGAGGTGCAGGCTAAGCACTTAAGTTAATCAACGAACTGGCAGCCTTGTGCCTCTACTGACAAAGAGACATATTGCAAAGCGTGGCTGAAAAATTTTTTTTAACACTCTCCAATGCCCCTTTAAACATTCCAGAATGGTGAGGGGTGGGGGAATAATGGGTTTTGAGAAGAAAAGAATAGGTTTTGAGCATTGTAATTTTTTTTTTAAAGCCGTAACTAATCTGCAGTGATGATCTTCAGGTCACACCCTACTAATATGGCCATTATGCCTATAGCTTCAATGAGCCAGCACAACGTGGAAACCAGACGGTGAGGTTAGGAGAAAACCAGCCACAAATCCTCACCTCAGGCTTTATTGTACAGAATGAAGTGAGGAGTGGAAAAAAGCACAGATGTTTGTCTACAAAACGGGATGGGTAGCTGGGAATGGTGTTTCAGGGCATCTAGAGCGATCCTAACTGATTCCTTCTGCTTCTTATGGTTTGCTCAGTGCTGTGGGTTTCTCTGCTTTGAGGGAGTCTGTGCTGAACACCCCTTTTGGTCAGTGGGCAGACATTCTTACATGTAATAGCATTCTCTCAAGCACAGTGGGGTGAATAGGTCTGATCTACCACTGTGCTCTGAATGATGCTAAAGGCTGCTGTTCAAGAAGAAAAATCAAGGGGGTGGAGAGGAGCAGATGCCTGCAGGATGCTGGCATTGGTGCTGTATATGCACAGTCTCCTCCACCTCCTGATTTGCTCTCTTTGGGGCGATGGGAGTGGTTGATGTCTTTCTCCCTGTGTCCTAAGAAAGAAGAAACCAATTCTATAATCAGGGAGGAAAAGCCCATTTATGCTCATCACTTCCTTGGCTAACTCCAGTTGTCCCAAAGATGTTGCTACGAATGGCAGCAATGCATCCTTGCTAGATTCTTGTACGTAGCTGAGGGACAGATGTCCAGATATTTCATCCAAAATATTCATTGTGTGCGTCTCCGGAGACTGCTTTTGCTACAGGAAAAGTTCACATTGAGTCATGTTTGCAATGAGCTTCAAAGAAGCCAATGGCTTGCTTGCTGGCTGCATTCCTTTCTCTCTTTGGCTGATCAGAAAGAGCCGGGTCATCATGGGCAAGCTGTCCTCTTTTGGTGTTGTGCCCTGAACCTGAAGCAGTCTTTGCTTGCCATCCTCCAGGCCTTTTCCTTTCTCCAAGAGCTCAAGCTACAGTTCCTTTATCAAGCTGGGCACAGTTCCTTGGAGCATCTAGCTAGAGTCGTCCGGTTGAAAGAAGTTCAGCTGCAGTACGTGGTGCTCCAAACAGCATTAAGCCTGTAACTCTGTGGCCTGTTGCAGGCGCTTCCAGAGCATTAGCAGGATATTTTGAGGTCAATGCCCTGAGGTCTGATGGGAAGATTTTCTATGGGAGCTTTGCCAGCAGAACTGGCTCAGATGCAGTACAACTTCCTAGCTGGAAACATTTGCACAGGACAGAAACCAAGACATGGATCATCACCAGTGTTTAGCGCCTATGTGTGTGCGCTCTGCAGAGTCACACCCATGCATGGGCGTGTAGCATATGATCTGTGCAAAGAAACATACTCCCAATGAGTCTCTCTGGATAGCCTATTTTCCACATATACAGGGATTTTTGTCTAGGATTTTTTTTTTTTGTTCGAAGCTGCCTTTAATAATGGTGGTGCTGGCGTTTCCACATCTCAACTCAAGTTATTGTCAATTGTTGTATATGTGATTTGTTCTAATTAGGCTAGTAAACAAGAGTGGAGTGTTGATTGTTCCTCCACTGCTGGATGCCTCTGCCCATATTTTAAACCCCAGCAAACACTGCTTCCCCACCCCTGTGAAGAAACAGTCTTTCCAAAGCTGGGGTTCTCCTGACATGTTGAAGGGCCAGATTAGAATATTGACAAAGAAGACTGCAAATATGTACAATTGATACCTGCCTCTCGGTTTGAACAGCAGAGCAATTGTTTGATTGTTGACCAGATGAACTTTTCTGTAATTTAATAGAGGTTTTCTGCGTACCACCTGCCTCTCAAACTCCTGAAGTTCTCTACTTGATACTGGGTCTTTCTCTTGTGTCAAGCTTGTCTTTTGACCTCTCCAACAGGTCCAGTGTCATTGTCTGAACAGCACTATAGACGTACTTTGCCATTGTTTTCTTCTGGAATGTTTTTTAGCTTCCAAATGTAGTTTCTTGTGGTCCTCCTTCAAATACAAACCAGATCTGAATCTGCTTAGCTTCCGAACCCAAGCAAGATTGGCCAGCTGCTCCAAATACTTGACCCTTCCAGGTTTTTCTTAGGGTGCTAATTTTGGAATCTCTGCCTAGCAAAATCTTTTCGCTCCCTCGTTTAGTTAATCAGAGATTCAGAAGGGTTCTGTGGATCTGATGACGTGAAACTCCCCACCCGTTCAGTGCAGGAGACCAAGTTGTCCGCCTTGCTCAATACAGTCTTTGACAATTGTTTGTCAAGATCAAAAGCGGTGGTCTTTTCCTCCCAACCTGAGACTCAAAAGACCGAACTTGGGTTTTTAAGAGGAGGACCTGCCAGTGAGCCTTCCTTCAACCATGGTTATTATGGCAAACAACTTAATATGTGCCAAATATGTCCTTGTCCCCCAAACAGGCCCATCGTTGCAAAATGTAACATGCAGTAGCTCTTGCAAATGTGACATTTTTATGGGCTGCGAAGGAAAGCTTCTTCCAGGCCAGGAAGCAACAGTATTTGCCTTTTTATTGCAGGAAGGGCCAGGAGGTAGGTTTGCTAGAGGCTGCCCTGGTGGGAACTTCCTGCCAGGCTCCTCAAGCTAGATCCTTAGGCATTAAATGTCTGTTTTATGGTTCCTATGCCTAGTGAATCACAGCCTCTCTTTTTCTCTCTTTTGGGGGGGGGGTCGCTTGAGAAGGCAATGCAAATGCATTTAAAAAAATAATAATCCTAAGTATTGAAATTCCACAAACTCTTTGTCTCATTCTTAAGTGCCTGTGTGTGTGTGTGTGTGTGTGTGTGTTTGTATCAGTACTGGCATGTGCAAATCTTGATGGACAGGCATGTAAGTACCGTATGCATCTAAGGGCAGACAGATCCGATTTATTGCTTCCCCTTTCCATTTCTGCCTATTTGAACAGTTAAATGCAAATGAATGTGGTAGCTATTTTAGCACCAAGTACAATCATATTCATTTTAAAATAGGAATGGCCTACTAAGCTTTGCAGGGGGGGGTGTTGGGGGAGAGAGAGAGGAAAGGGGAGAAATTGTATGAAGTTTTTTAAAAAAACGACTTCCACGATCAAACTGCAAACTGCAGCCAAATAAATGGAAGCAGTGC